ATTCAAAGTGAAATGGAGGCTGAAATTGTTGAGGTCTACGTTGTATTGCAGTAACATGGGAGATATGTCTGATGTGTTCCTAGGGATGGCAAAAAAGTTCGCCGGCTCGGGCGACTCGAGCTCAGCACGAACTGGGATATGGGAGAGATGTCTGATGCTTTCCTAGGGATGTCAAAAAAGCTCTCAACCCGAAAACAGCCTGAGTCGGGCCCGGCTCGGGCTCGATTCCACCGAGCCGAGGCTCGAGCCAAGCCCCATTTTGGGGCGTCGGCTCGAGCAGGCCCGACCCTTGTTTTAGGGAAAAAAAAGTAAAAAACAAAATAAAAAAATAATTTTTGCTGCCTACGTTAAATTCAGCTGCTTGCATTGCAGGCAACTATGAGGCAGCAGTCACAAAAAAATTAAAAAATAATAATAATAAAATCGAGCCGACCCGACTCGGCTCGTAAATTTTTTATGAATTTTAGGCTCAACCCGAGTTTCCCCATCTTTCTTCATGAATCCTAAATTTTTAATTTGACTGAATCAAATAGCTTATTATGTTTACTCAAAATATTGAACCATCAAATTACAGTAAAGAAAAAAACAAAAATACCGAACACAACTTTTCGATGCTCTTGATAGTATATATCGAATTCTTCAGAGACTCCTAATGATACTCGGCACCACCCCCACGAAAAACTCATTCTTGTACTAGCAATACAAAAATAAGCACCACCCTAAGTAAAAAATGAATCGGGGTTTTATTGAACTATTGGATAAAAGGCAATCGGATATAACCTTGATCGATCGAGAACGAGAGACCAGTGTACCTGTAAAGCTAAAACACAATGAAAGCAGAAGTAACCGGATTCACAAAGAATACCCAAAATATCAAGAAATCGATCCTTTATAGATATAGGGCTCAGAACATTAACATTGTACCCGTCTGTACAATATTGAAACAGCCACAAAACTCAAACCCTAAGGCAAAAGAACACATTACAACTACTACAATGGACCCAAGATCAAACAACTGACCCAAGACTCTAAAAACCCTCAATCGAAGAATCACTAAGACCCAAATCACAAATATTTAAGATCAAAACCAAAAGTTTTGATCGATTCACTCAGAAACGAAAGAGAGAATACAGAGATGAACGAAAGAGGCAGCTTAGCAGAAAACTCGGGTCGAGCCTAAATTTTTTGGCTGAGATTTTGCTAGGCTCGACTCTGTTCGAGTCCAAAAAAGCTCAGACCTATTTTGCTCGAACCAAGCTCGAGCTTTAAGTTTCGGCTCATGACTCGACTCGTTGATATGACTACTGCAAACGCTTACAAGCAGCATTTTGCAAGCAGCTCACAAAAAAAAAAATTAATAATAATAATAAAATCGAGCCGGCCCAGCTCGGGTCTGGCTCGGATCGTAAAGGCCAGAGCCGAAAGCTCGGGTCGAGCCTAAAAATTTTGGCCGAGCAAGCTCAGGTTCAAAAAAG